GCGGCAGGTACTGCAGGGCAGCCCGGGTGTGGGGGGTGGGTGGGGGGTGGGGCGGCCCTCACCGAGCCCGTCCTCTGCAGGGAACATCATGGGCGTGGGGCAGTGTCTCCTCTACGGGCTGACCGTCGTCCTCCGCAAGAAATTCTCAGCCAGCCGCTTCTGGGATGACTGTGTCAAGTACAACTGCACGGTCAGGCCCCGGCCCTTCCTGCGCCGCCCACCCTCCACCTGCCAATCCCCCACTGGGTCGCAGCCTGCTCCCCTGTCTCTCTCCCAGGGGTCCCCAGAATGGCCGTCGAGGGTGGGGATGCGGGGGGTGGCCAGTGTTTCCTGAGCACTTGCTGGATGTGTAAACTCATTATAATCCTCATAACTGCTTGGGAGTGGGCAAAGGCATCACACCCATTTTGCAGGTGGGGAAACTGAGGCTTACTGGTATAATGCAGCTGGATTGGCCCAGGGCACTTGAACTCCAACAGACGCTGCCTTCCCCTCTCCTCCACTGTAGATCTTCCATGCTGGGGACTGCAGGGAAATGAGACCAGTGGGTAGAGTCAGCTCTCTGGGATGGGGAGGACCGTAAGGCTGGGCCTTCCAGGTGGGAAAAGCTGAGGGAGAGGTGGGGGCATCTGCTGTCCCTGAGAGGAGAGCAGGCGGGGGTTCAGAGGAGGCAGGAATCCTCCTTAACCCTCCAGGGTGAGAGGAAACCAGGCTGAGGGTTTCAGTGCTGAGGTAGGGGAGACACAGGAAGTACAAGTGAGAGCAGCTTGTCCGAGGAGGTGCTGAGCCCAGAGGGAAGAGCAGGGTGGGCTGGGTCAGGAGGTGAGAGAGCCGGGTGTGTCCAGGACTGTGGTGAGCTGGCACCTTGGACGGGTAGGACCCAGAGAGGTTCAGCTGCTTGCCCAAGTCACACAGCTGGGTAGGGGTGGGGGGCTCTGGGCTGGGCATCCTGGAGCACCCCTCAGTGTTGACGACTGTTCTTTCCTCTGCTTTTGATTTTCCATTCTGCTTGGAGGGTCTTGGGGAAAATGGCTAATCTGCATCTTGAAACACGAAACAATCTCTTTTTTTTTAAAAAAAAAAACTTAATTATTGGGGTTGGCCCGGTGGTGCACTCGGTAGAGTGCGGCGCTTGGGAGCGCAGTGGCGCTCCCGAGGGTTCGGATCCCATATAGAGACCGGTCCGCTCACTGGTTGAGCGCGGTGCGGGCGCAACACCGAGGGTTGTGATCCCGTTACCGGTCACGAAAAAAGACAAAAAGGAAAAAAAAAAAAAAACTTAATTATTGAGAGTTGCAAATATACATAAACATGGACGGAAGAGTATAGGGGGGTCTGGTGCACCCATCACCTGNGGGCGCAACACCGAGGGTTGTGATCCCGTTACCGGTCACGAAAAAAGACAAAAAGGAAAAAAAAAAAAAAACTTAATTATTGAGAGTTGCAAATATACATAAACATGGACGGAAGAGTATAGGGGGGTCTGGTGCACCCATCACCTGGCCCTGGGGGCTGTCAGATGTCCCGTCCTGCCCCTTCCACCCCCACCCTCATCCCTCCCTCTGCACAGTTGTGAAGCAGCCCCCAGATACCGGTGTGTTTCCTGTGTAGATGTTTCAGTGAAACTTCAGAAAGATGGAGACTTTTTTTTTAATTGAGGTGAAATTCACATAACATAAAATTAGCCATTTTAAAGTAAACAATTAAGTGGCATTCACAATGGTGTGCAACTACCATCTCTGTCTGGTTCCAGAACATTTCATCCCCCCAAAAGGAAGCCCCGTCCCCATCAGCAGTCACTCCCCGTCCCCTCCTCCAGCCCTTCACAACCACCATCCGCTGTCTGCCTCTGGATTTGCCCATTCTGGACATTTCATATCCATGAAATCACACACCATGTGGCCTTTTGTGTTTGGGAAGGACTGTTTTTAAAACATAACCTCAGTATCATCATCACGGCCAAAATGTGACAGTGATTTCTCAATGTCATGAGGATTCTGGGCAGTGGCCCAGTCCCTGTTTCTCACCATGTCAAATGTGTGTTTTTTCTTGTTTCTATAATTTTTTAAAAAGTCAATATTTAGACAATGAGCCTTGTGCCTGGTTGATATATCTTATAAGAACCCTTTCATCTGTAGGTGCCTCTCTCTCATTTTCTCTCTCTCTCATTCTCTCTCATTCCCTTTTGCAATTTGTTTATTGAAGAAACTGAGTTGCTTGTTCTGTAGCATTTTCCCAGTCTGGATATTGCTGGGGTGTCCCTTAACGTGTTCCTCTGTCCCAGTATTTCTTGTACCTTGCGAGTTGGGTCCAGCACAGAGTTTCTGAGCCACGGTGCTATTAACAACGGGGCTGGATCATTCTTTGTGGTGGGGCATCCTGTGCATTGTAGGATATTTAACAGCATCCCTGGCCTCAACCCACTAGATGCCAGTGGCAACCCTTTCCCCCAGTGTGACAATTAAAATTGTGTCCCTGGGCTGGCGATTTGTTCACTTGGTTAGATCATGGTGTTATAAAATTGTGTCCTAACATTGCTAAATGTTCTTGGGGGACAGAACCACCCCTGGTTGAAAACCACTGGTTTAGATATTTGATCAGCTTCAAGTTCAACTTTTCTGGCAAAGATTCCTTGTGGGTGGTGCTGTGTCCTCCCACTGGGAGGCCCATAGCATCTGGAGGTCTCTCTCTTTGTCCTTAACATGCCATGTTCACTGTCTCCATGCCCTTGGAAGCCCATTCTGTTAGCTTCCTAGAAGCCGAATTTCTGTGTCAAATAAGGCACATGGTGAACATTGAGAGCCTCTTTAAGGAATTAAGGACGGACTCTCCAGAGGTCATGTTTATTAACAGGGGTGCAAGAAAACAAGAGCATGGATTTGGGTTCAGAAATTCCATCTCGTGGGGGCCGGCCTGTGGCTCACTCAGGAGAGTGCGGTGCTGATAACACCAAGGCCACGGGTTCAGATCCCATATAGGGATGGCCGATTTGTTCACTGGGTGTGCGTGGTGCTGACAACACCAAGTCAAGGAGGGTTAAGATCCCCTTACCGGTCATCTTTTTAGAAAAAAAAAAAAAAGAAAAGAAAAAGAAATTCCATCTCGTGGCCAGTTAGCTCAGATTGTTAGAGCGTGGTACTGATAACACCAAGGTTTAGGGTTTGATCTTGTTCTGGCCAGCTGCCAAAAAAAAAAAAAAGGAAATTCTATCTTTTGGTTGTAGGATAGAGGAAACTGGTTGCTGTTTTATTTGCAGCAGGGGCTGCAGTCTAATCTAGAACTGTACTTTCTTAGCTTCATAGAAGCAGGTGGACAGGTGACTTGACACATCTTTTTCCAGGAGACTAAGTGTGCGGCACCTTTGAGACCCCACACCACTTGGAGTATTTACTCAATGTATGATGTCACTCTGACACAGGGGAGTAACAGCTGGGGGTCCCAGGTTTGTGGTCCCCTCTATCTCCTGTACAGGTGCAGTCCTCCAGAGTGGAGGTCACAGCATGGGGCACCTGTTGTCTGCCCTGCTGGGCTGACCTGAGTTGTCTTCTGCTCAGCTCTGAGCGGTACAGGCTAGAGATAAAGGCCAATTTATTTTGCTCTCAGTAGGTGGATGTGACCTCAGCTGCCTTGATTACAGCTGAGTTGTCCTTCCTCTGGCCTGATTTCTGAAGAAAGGGAGCTGAGAGCTGAGAGCCTCTCAGAGCTAGGACCACCTGGTGACAGTCTGGAGGGCAGCTCTGTGTTTAGGCAGGACATTGTCAGTTGAAAGGAACCAAGACCCTAACCCCATGCCTAAACTAAGCTATAGCTTTCTCAAGAAAAGGGACTAATTAGCTCATTGAACTGAGGAGCCCCCACAGAGACAGCTTCAGGCACAGTTTGATCCAGGAGAGCCTCCACCTCTCTCTATTTCTTGTTTTCAGCCTTTCTCTTGACTTCTATTTTTGTTTTTGTTTTCATTTTTTGTTTGTTTTTTGCAGCTGGCTGGTATGGGGATCTGAACCCTCGGACTTGGTGTTGGCTTCCTTTTTGAGTGGGCAGCTTCCCTCCCTGACCCTCCTTTAGCAGCTGCCATAGAGAAAAAGAACTTCACTCTTCTCAACA